CCCCAAAACCCCAAAACCCCATCGAGTGAGAATTTCGTGATTAATTTGTTTTATGAAATTAAAATTAAAATTTGGTTTAAGTAATATCAATCGTTAAGTTGGGTTAGCATTGCGACTCCTCTCTTTACCCAATGCTTTTGACTATGTCTCTTTTGCATTAGTAGTTGAATATGAAGGACGAAGTTTGTTGAATGACCTGTTGTTGATAAAGTACCAGCTCTTCTAGAGGTCTTGTAAACAGGACAAGTATAGGTCTAAATAAAGTATTAATAGTAAAATAACTTACATGTCTATTTTCAATCTTGTCTACTCTGGATGGTTTCAGCCAGATGTGAGGAACATTTGAGAACAATACCTTAGGGAATGACTCAGCAAGTACATCTTATTCTGAATTCCATCTACAACCTTCAAGGAATAATCCGAAAACATAGGCTCCATCTGATGCATGTTTAGCTAAGTCATACTTATGAGGGTCACTTATTACTTCAAAGTCGAAATCAATCTAATCAATGGCAATAACATGCTTTCTGGCATAGTTTTGTTTAACTCCAGTAAGGAAACTCTAAGTGAAGAAGAATCCAGATAACCAGAAGGTACTTGGGGCTCCATGCTCAATCCAATCTGCCATGAATTTAAGTCTCTAAATGAAATCAGCAATCCATGATGCTAGAGGTTTCAAGGAAGGATAAGCTTTCTTGGACCAGAGAGCTGGAACCAAATTATCAAACAAGCTATTTCCTACAGCTTCTAATTCTAAAGACATGACTACCTCTCCTTTAATAGCTTTACCTAGATTGATTAAAGAACTTCTGACTTCAGAGAGTAGTTTGTTGAATCTTAAAAGTTCTTACTGAAGCACGGTATTCATTGATTCCTCATACTTAATCGGATGTTTCTTGCAGGCTTCATCCATGTCAAAGTTAGGTGGCAGCTTGTCTAGTAAACCCTTTGCTAATTCTTAAAGTAGCTCTTCTTGACTCTTTCCAGCTGCACCACTCTTTCTTGGCATTAGAGACAATGCAGTTCCAAGAAGGTTAGTTGTGTCATTAATAGCACTAGTAATATCAGCATTATCATGTAATCCAAACACTTCTGTTAGGTCGTTTTATGGCATCTCATTTTTGATAAAATCAATATAGCTTGCGATATTTCCATCATGTGGTACGACATATTTTCCACTCTCAGAGAATTTATAGCCATCTTTCAGAATATCTGGTGTGTAGAAATCTGAAAGTATCATGTTAATAGCTCTTCTATCCATTGGATCAGTGACTCTACCTCCATAGTTAGCTTCTGCGACCATATATTTCAAGGCTTCAAATGGAATCTCTTGATAGTAGTTCAGGAACATAAGCAATTAGGCTTGTGAGATTCTCAAATCAGATGCTGAGAATTCATATGGAATGTTCCATCCAAGTGGACCATACTTTCTTCTTTCTAGGATAAGGGCATTAAAGAAGGTAAGACCCCACATAAGCCTCTTCACAGCTATTGGCTTTGAGCATGCTTCAATTTCACTTTCATCAATAGCGAGGTAAGATCCTAGAATATTATTTTTAAGTCCTTTAGGAGGCTCGTTAGTAATCTTGATACCATTTTGCAAGATTGAGACAGGGAATTTTTCACTAGGCATAGATGTCAGCCAGATTCTAAATGCACTGCCTTTATCTTCTTAGATTTCCTCTATTAAACCATCAAGAATAGGCATGAATGAAGGTGCTAAATGGCAATTTTGTAATACAACCCACTCACCAGCTTCTTAAGCGAATATTATTGCTTCTTTTGCCTTCTCTGATTGACCCTGACCGAGAGAAAGAGACTTCCATTTAACTTTCTTTTATTCTGCAAGTTTGATAAGCTCTGACATTGGATCTGCTCCTGGTGATAGAACGAAAATAATTGGTGCCTTATTTGTAGAGTCTGAGAAAGATTTTGAAAGATCAAAAGGTGGTGGTGTAATGTAGTAAGTTCCAAGTTCTTTATCTTTCTTGATTAGTTTTTGAATGGCAGGAATAACTTTATCAGGTCTTAGGATTCTTAGTACTATCGCTCTTCTGAATAATGTGATGTCATTCCATTGGCCAGGCCATGGCTCTTTGAAGCTTTGTGGTTGCTGTGAATTGAAAACTCTCTCCCAATCATGAAGATGAGCTTCGAATTCTCTGTCAAATCCTTTGAATGCTGGTAAAACTCTTGTAAGTTCAAGGATTGAAGCCCATGACTTATCTGATAGCCATCCATTTTCTCCTGTTGGATTAGGTCTATCAAACTCAATTGAAGTTGCTCCAGTCATCAAGAATCTAGTTTCAAGGGGATCTAATTCTTTATTTTCCTCCATAATTTTCATGCACATCAAGAATGAGAATAGTAGCTTATCTTTTTCGAAAAGTGATCTACACACATTTGAATAGAGCAGTTTCTGGAATTTCTTGATGAAAAAGTGCTTTCTTGCATTTCTATCTCCCTTATCTACTTTTCCATCTGCTTTGTCAAGAGCTCTTTCATAAATCATACAGAAGAACTTGAGGGAGTATTGATACATGGGATCAACATTCATTAAATCTGCCAGCACGAAGAATAATCTTGATACTCTTACAGCGACTGGAACAAATTGCTCTCTAATGTTTTCAATTTACTTCATAGTAGACTCCATCTCCTTAAGTTGCTGTTCAATCTGTTTGCATTGTTCTTTTGATTCATCAAGTGTTACTACTAGTTCATCATCCTCCAAAATATTATCTGAAGAACCAGCAATCTAGTTTAAGATCTTGTCTTACAACTCTGACACTTTTCTTTCATTCTCAGCTTTTTGCACAATACATTGGTTTCTCTTTTCAAATCTCTATGGTTCCTCATGCTTGACAACGATACTCAACATTTAATCTTCTAGACCCTCTTGTGTAACCATAAAGTTAAGCATGGTAACTTTCACACAGACTTCAGGGCTGTAATGAGGTCTTGATAGTTTTGTTGTTACATAGAATCTAAAATCTGAAGAGTATTCAACTGGGTTATCACCAATTCTGAGATACATTAAACTTCCTTTCTTCTCGATTTGCTTTCCAAGAAGTGGTTCGAGCATAGGATCAAAAGTCTCATTCGCATCTTCAAGGATAACTGGATTTCCAAGAATGACAGCATTTTCAAGAATTCTACTTAAAACCTTCGGATCCATTGTTGGCTTGATTACCTTAATTTGATGCTTCTCTTCCATCTTTTTAATCCAAATGTTAGCTTGCATCTAAGGATCAATCATAAGTGGCCATCTCTCTGAGTTTTCAAGAATGATAGCATTATCGATTGAGAATTGATCTTGGGGAAGTTTTTCAATGAGCCATTATCTGATCTTGACTTAATTTCCGAGAATAGCATTCAAACTGATGTCATCATTACTCTTAATGTTGAATGATCTGATCATATTAATCCATGTTTTAATACATTCAGTTCTGTAAATTTAGGTAAATACCCCGAGATAGGCAATAATTCCAGAACTAACAAGAATATCTCCTACAAGGTTTTCCCTGCTAGCAATATTTTAAACTAGAGCATTCTTCCAGTTAATGTTTTCTGATGCTAGTTTATCAATCAAACTTCCTGCTCTATCTCTTTTCTTTTAACAGTCATCTTTCTAGGCCTTAAGTTTTTCTTCTTCATTTTTAGTGGCCTCAAATTCATCCATAAGTTTCTTCATTTGAGCCTCAACAGCTCTTAGTCTATCGAGAGCTTCATCCCAAATTTTTTAAGCCTCTCTTGAAGACTCTTGAGCTTCTTTCAATTGTTGTTGTTTAGGTCTGACGACTTTCATAGCCTCATCATATTGAACAATAGCTCTCACCCACTTAGCAAGACCCCAAGCAGCTTTTGATGCATTCTTAAGAACCTCATCATGATAATTTGGCTCTGCAATAATAGGCTTCAATTTTTCAATGATATCTAATGCGATACTGTCCTTTTCAAAGGTTTGGCATCTCTTTAAAAGATCAGGACTCAATAGCTTTTTCTTTGCTGGTTCCCAATAATCCCATTGGACATCTTTAACATTTCCTCCCTTTACCTTTTCAGGGGCTACGTTAAAGATGATACACATACTCTTCATGACAAGTATAGCAGCATCTGGTGGCTTTTTGAAACCTCTGATTTCAGTAATATCATTTTTGTCAAGTTCTGACACAGCCTTCATAGCAGCGTTATAGATAGGCATGACTCTTGATAATTCTTCTTCACAATCTTTCTGAATTGCGTCAGCACTTTCCTTCTTTCCTTTAGCAACAGTCTCCTCAGCTTCTACTTCTTTTGTTTTTTCAGCAACTTGCTTCTTTTGTTTCTCAATATCTACCATCATTGCTGCAGTTTACTTTTGCTTTACTTGAAGCTTTGGAATAAGGTCTGTAAGCTCAATTTGAAGTCTATTAACTTCCTCTGATGCATGAGCAAGTTGATCAAGACCTTTCTCATATTTTGCAATAATTGTATTGACATTTTTTCTCTTTTAGCCCAATAGATTCTAGAAAGTCTTAATGAGAACAAGATAACTGGTTGGAGTAACATAATAATATCTCTTAAGTTCTTAGAAGTATCTCTACGTCAATTATGAAACTCTCTCCTGCATGTCTACACAAATTGAGATGATACCTTCTCTTTCATCAAGATCAATCTTATTCAAGAAATGCTCTGCTACAGATTAAAGAGCTTCTCTAGGCCATGGGAGGAACCAATCGATAGCACAACAGTTAACCAATGATGGGAACATTCTGAGTCTTCTCTTAAAATCTTCTCCAATAGGAGACATTGCTAATACGACATGACAGCAAGTTTTTGCTTTTTGAATGAAATCTAGCATGACCTCAGTATCGTTATAATTTTTGTAGTTAGGATTATTTTTGTTAGCATCTTTCATAGCATCAAGGATAATTCCGATTTCCTCTGCTTCTTAATAAAGATTAGGGATTTCTCCATTATTCAAAATGTTGTTAATATCCTCAACGAAAGCTTCATTAGTTATTTGAGTATCAGAGAATAAGAAAACAGTTTGTTTTTAGTCAACTCCACAGCCAAGGAATAGTTTCTCTTTCATATCATCTCTCCATGCCTTGAAGTCATAATTCTTTGAGATTTCAATGCTGAAACTTTCATAACTTGCAATAAAGGTAGCAAGTTCAGTAAGTGATTTACGTCCTGAACCACCTACACCGACTAACAATGCATGACCATACTCAGTAGTAATAATTCTATGAATCTTAACGATATGCTCAATAGCTGATACGAAAAGCACAAGATTCATCTTCTTAGAATGATTGAATTAGTTGTAATCTGATAATGCTGTTTCAGTAGTATCCTTAACCTTCTTTCTATCCGTAAGTTCGCAATATAGATCAGAAAAAGGTTTCTTAGTTGTATCACCATCTGGGTAAACAAGTTGGACAAAAGAAGCAAAGAGCAATGGTTCTACCTCTACAATTGATTTCCAATCCTTCTTGAATTTTTCCTTGATTATGTCTTTCAATAAATCGTCAAATTTGACTCTATCGGATTCACTGATAAGTCTATCTTGGAATACTCTTAGACATTCATGAGCCCATAATTTGATCATGTCAGTTTCATTTCTAATTGCCTTTGGTGATGCCTTAGAAATCCCTTAAAAGACTTTGCTGACATCTCTTAAGTTGTATGTGTAATGGGATTTAGCTGGAGTTGGTCTGAATTTCTCTGAAATTGATCTGTAAATGTGAATAGTGTTAGTGACCAAGCTATCTCTCATTCCTTGAATAGCTTTTGAGTAGGATGGGTTTGAATTTATCAAGAAGAACCATTCCATAATGTTTGTGAAGATATAGTTCAAACTCTCTTATGAGTATGGCTCAATGTAGATAACGTTGAAATGTCTAACATATCTTGCTGTAATTGAGTTTCTTCCACCTCCTGGAGGTCCCATAGCAGTAATGAATTTGATTCCCTGAATAAATCTGAACTCTTTTTCATTAGTATCGATATCATACCAGCCTCCATAATCCATCCATTATCTTAAAAGTTCAACAGGCGGTTGAGCACCATATACTTCTTTCTGTGGCATGTTAAGATCATCTACAAAGATAACACCCTTCTTTCCAAGAGGAGGACCATAAACTCCCTTTCTTCTCTTCTCCATCTTTCCATCTATAATCTTTTGAGTTTGATTGGCGCTAGTTTGTGCAGAGAATGACATTGAAATGTAAGCATAATTTTGATTGTCAAAATTGTTTTTAAGCTCATTTGCTATAGAAATACTTTTACCAGTACCTGTAGGACCACAGATCATTGGATGCTTGTCACAAAGAATGAGAGTATTCATAAGTTTATTCATTCTGATTGAATCAATTGTAGGGACTATAAGTTAAGAATATGAGACATCCTTTGGAACAATAAATGGTGGAAGTGTCTTTAGCCAGTTTATCCATGTCATCTTATCTCTATCGAAGAAAAGATCAAAGAGACTTTTGTAATCGCCTAGTTTAACTGGGATCTTTTTTATTTCAAAATTGGGTATATCGAGTCTATATTTTGTATTGACATCTTCAGCTGCTAATATCTCTTGTAAGAAAGTGTCATATCTTGGTCTAGTAGTTTCATCCAATGCTGCTCCAATACTCCAAATAACAGCAAATACTATAGAATTTACAGACATTTCTTCAGCTTCTCTTGGAACTTTTGCATCTTCTTACTTCCAATCATATACATAGCAATCAAAGATGTTTAACATAGAGTTGATAAGGAAATTTGGATCTGTTGGAACTGGGAATTTGCCCTTAGAATTAGTGTATGCGATTGACAAGTCAGCAAAATAGTGCATTAATTATCTAACAACCTCAGCTGTTTTTCCAATGTATTTTTCAAGATTGTTGCAATATGATGTAATGAGAGGTGTATGTCCGAGTTATTTAGGCTCCATAAAGACCATACCACATCTACTAACTGTGGCAGGGGAAGCTTAAGAAAGGTCTTCTACTTCAAACATCATTGTCATAGTAGGCTTTAGTTTAATGATCTAACCACTGTTTAGGCAAAGTTTTTTATTGTCATCCAAGACAGTATTCATATTCTCTATCCAAACTGCATCGACAGGTCCATCGAAAATAATCCATTTTCTATCAGGTGTTTCAGATTCAGCACAGTCTCTAATCTTAATAGCCAAGACTCCATCACTCCATTCTTAACTATCAAGATCAAATTTACCATAAAGCTAGTCTTGCAAAATACTCTTTGGATTAATATAGAATCCAAGTACATTAACGAAAAGTGGATCATCTTTAATTATACTCATACCTCTTTGTAATGTCTAAATAACTTTTGATTTACCACAGAATGCTCTTCCGACAACCATAAGTCCATGTCTAACCATAATAGTCTCATAGAGTTAAATACATTTATCAATAAACTCCCTCTTAGGTTGAAGATTTTTTTCTACACAAGCTTCGTGCATTGCTCCAATAAGCTTTTCATAATCTGGTTAAGGAAGCTGTACTCCTGGGAAGAGATCACTGGTAATACCCAAGAAAAGTGGAATATCATTTGAGGTGAACTTCGGTAAGTTAACGTCATTAAGGGCTCTTAGACCAATATATCTCTCTGGCCAATCCAACTTTCTTCTTAGATTACCACAAGCTGTTAAGATAGCTTTCAAAGCTCTCATACCGAAATCATAATGATCTTAAGAAGACAATTGCTCACTAGACAACCTCAAAGATGCAACAACTTTTACAGCGAGTTCTGAAGCTTCTGAAAAACCGAATGAATAAAGCTCTATTTCTGCAATGAGCTTATAATCTGGGACCATCATAGCGCAGGGTCTGAACAGTGCTTTGAGATTATCTGGAAGCTCAGATCTACCTGCATAACCAGGATTCATTGTAATATTTACAGCGCAAGCTCTGTTTATTTATAATTCAGTACCCTCAAAAATGAACTTTCTCTTCTTAATGTCCTTGATAGCTTGTTGAATAGTCAAAATCTATTAAGCAATAACTGATAACACTTCGAGATCAATTCTATTAAACTCATCGAAGCAACACCAAGCACCAGAAGCAGCTAGACCCTTAAAGAATTTAGCCATAGCTAGATAATCTAAACCATCTGAACAATTAAAGACGACACATTGGACTGCAATAGCTTTAGCAAGATCCTTGACTGACTCAGTTTTGCCTGTGCCTGCTGGTCCCTCTGGAGCACCTCCATAGTTAAGATGCTTAGCTCCTAAGAGAGTTCTATAGCATCTATCAGTCAATGGTGTAATAACCAATCTTAATGAATTTCCAAGATATTCATAGCCATAATCAGTAACAGCAGTGACCATTTTTACTCTAAGAGTGTCATTTTCCTCCCAGTAGTATCTAAGTTGAGAACCCCAGTCAAAGTCGAATATACTCTTGATTTCTTTTTGCATTAATTCAGTGACTACATCTCTAGCGTGCACATCAATAACGACTAGAGCTTTTAATGTAATTCTCTCCTAGACATTTAGATCTGATCTCACAAGCTGCACAATATCCTCAATTTAGAGTTACAGAACATCTCTATATTATTCTAACCCAGCATATCCTGATTCTTTAACGGCTTATTCTACCTCAGTAGTCCAGTGAATTTGATTTACTGCAAGAACTATTTAACCTGGCCATTATCTAACCCAATCTGTTCTCTTTGTTTTGTGGTAAGCTCCTAAACTAGAGTGGCAGATCTTTTTCAATGATTTCCTCATGACATTCTCAATTTCAAGCATCCATTTTTCTACGTTACCTTTCTTGTCGCCCTCGTTTACATCAATCTTATGATCGAAAAGTACCTCCTCTCCTTCTTAACTGATCATTCCATAAACTTCATCATTATCGCTGAACATAATTCTATAGATACCCTCGAAACATTTATCCATATGAGGTTATACAGCTCTGGGCTCTTTAGTTTACGCCAAAAGCATGAGCAAATCTTCGTTAGCCAAGAAGTAAAATCTTGGGAACACAAGTCTCTTCTCTTCAAGATACTCATTCAAACTCTTCTGGATTTTATCAAGCTTTCTGTTTGCATCTTCGAAGGATTATTTGATGTTTTCTCTCTCAATCAAATCAATAATACCTGGATCGCTTTCAATACCTTCCATAGTCTGCTTCCAAAGTGTATCTACATCTCTGAACAATGAACCTTCTGTTGGCATTTGCTTGTGAATATCATCTGAGGCAAAGATAGGCTCAAGATACATCCAAGTTCTTTGACATTTAGCGATTTCTTCTATCAACTCAGACATATTGTTTAATTTAGTTTCCCACAACTTTGTTTCATTTCTTAGTTTACCTTTCATGAATTGAGACCCAAGCATAGCCTGAGTAGACACAATTTAGTCGTCAAGCTTAGCATTTACCTCATCGTAAGCTTTAAGTACATAGGTCTTGCCCTTGTATGGGAATTGAACCAAAGTAAAGTATTTCATCTCCTCTTTCATCTACTTTAACTTTTTGTTCAATGAGAATTTCTTCTCAGCTTTCATTGTTATTTCCTCAATTTCTTCAAGGTACTTGTTGAATTCCAAAGCTCTCATTTTCTCAACAGTTACATCATCTCTTTCAAGACTTTGCTGCTTTACAGCTTCTTAGACTTCTTTCCAATCTTCCTCCATTATAGCCTCTGAAGATAAGCATTTGATCAATTGCAAATTTTCCATAAATGCTTCGATTCTCTTTTTTTATTCCATTGCAACTTCAGCAGTCTCTGGGTAATCATCCAAAAGTTTCTTGTAAAGTTGGAAACATGATTGATGCCAGGAGTTAATTTAGGATGTGATATCAGCAGCGTCCATTTTTGAGACAACCTAACCGTTCCAGTCTTTAATGGAGAAATCAGCTTCATAAGCGATGGTGGTGAGATCGAGGAATGGCTTAAATTAAGTGTTTAATTCATCTAATTCAGGATATTCAGATCTCATTTAATTAAAGAGAGACTCTCTATCATTGAATTATTTTACCTTTTCAAAAGCCTTATCAAGATTTTCTTTAAGGTTAAAAGCATCGGTTGAATATTCATTGACTGTTGACAAGTCGTTGAATTTCTTAATCTTTTCAAAGTGTGTCTTGTATTATTCTATTTGTTTTACAAAGTTTTCTTTTTCAGAGTCTAACTTGGCCATAAAAATAACTTCTTTATTTTAAATCTAAAGGGCACCATCAGTAATAGCAGACATGATTTCAAGAGGCCATTATTTCATATACCAGAAAATTTCAATGTCTTTATCCTCGTATTTGAATGAAAAATTTTCCAAAAGCAAATAATGCTTGTAAACATCATGCAAAAGCGCAGACAATTAATCAACTTTAGTTGGAGCATTCTTAATAAAATCTCTGGTTGCCACAAGCTCTTTTTCATTGGTTGGATCCTCCATAATTGTTTTTTACATCTCTTCATATGTCTTGTTAATATGTTCAACAGACTTTTGACAATATTTATTCACTTCTTACAAAAGCTTTTCTTTGATCTTCTCGGCTTAACTTCCTAGATTATTTTTCATATTCTGAGCCATCACTCTGAATAACGGGAAGTCAACAATATCATTAGAAAGATTCATAATCTCATCATATGCTTATTTGTAATGAGAAATTTTCTCCCTTATTACGTCAAGAGGAGCCTTTTCATCTCCGTTGAAAAGTTCTTTGACTAAGGCTTTCTTATCTACATTGAGAATGTACTCAAATTTCTTATACTTCTCTAATAAGTCAAGTGGACCTTTAATATTCTCCTAGATCATTTAGTCAATACTGTTTTTAGCAATGACACACCAATCAAATTCCTCAGTTATTGGGAAATTAGGAGTTTTCTATTCTTTTTGAAAGAGGAAGGGCATCAAGTCATCCTCTAAGTTACAGACAAGGTTAGTTGACTTTACAATGTTGAGTACTGCATCCTTCAAGAAATTTCCACATTTATCAATTCTTGGGGCAAAGCTAATTCTATTTTGATCATCCTCAGCTCCTTGGTCTGACTCTTCAATGTTAGCTTTGGCATTCTTTGGCTTCTTATTCTTGTTCTTTTTGTCATCTTTCTTTGACTTCATAAGGAAGCTGAGATGTATTACAATCATAGGTGTCGGTTACACTTTCCAAAGCTCCTCTCTCTCATAGTTTGGAATAGTGAATGACTTAATGAATGCGACCCAATCATCAATTGAGAGCTTTACGAATTCTCTCAAGTATGTGTTTAAGATGTATTCAAATCTGGCTATAATTCTCTTAAGTGGGCTGTTTTCGTATGTGCTAGCTTTGTTCTCGAAGAAATTATGGTTCTTTCTTAGCTTATCTTGGATTTCACCGATAAGGAAATCTCTCCATTGAATGAGCATATTTTGAGAGACTGACTAGTGGTGAGAGTTTTGCATTTTTTGAAGTTCATTTAGCTCTCTTGGTAATTTAAGTGAAGTCTTGTTGGTGTTTTGGTATCTGAACTCCAAAAAGTCGATACATTTCTTGGTAAAGATCTTTGTCATTCCCACAAGGTCAGAATCTGAGCTCCAGTGCTCCTTTTTGACGTCATCGAGGTTCTTACCAAAGTTGAATTTCGTACCCATCTTTACAACTCCAAAGTAAGGCGCAGTTCTTCTTGAAAGTCTGATAGGAATCTTAAGCTTCTAGAATTTTAGGTGATTGATAGGATCTTGCATCTCTTTGAGGATAATACATTTCTTCATTTGTCTAACGTATTCCTCTTCTACAACTCTCATTAAGTATTTGAATGTAGCATGTGCCTTGTCTGGGTCAAACTTATCCCTTTCTCTCACGCATTTCTTAAGGTAATTGTATCTTCTTTCCATTGAAAGGACTGAGACTTTGTCTGAGGGAATTGAATCAACAAGGTTTGTGAATCTAAGTTCAGCTTCAACAATAGCTTGTCTTTGCTTGCAAAGGTTAACTCTTTCTCTGAATAAGTCTGGATTTTCATCGAAAAACAATAGTGATAGACGTGTAACGAGCTTTTCCTGTCCAGTATTGAAGACTACAACCTTGAATTTCCTCTCCTTGTAGTCATAGTCAATAACTGACACTGGTTTCCAGAGGTACTCCTTACCCTCGAATACTGGTGAGAGCGCATGTGGTTGACTCGGTCTTGCCTAGCAATATTCAACCCATTATTCAATAGTCTTATCCTCTTCCCATGTGTCATATCTAGTGAGCGCCTTTGTTCCTGGGAGATTTGGGTCATTGAAGATCTCATATTCTTTTTCTAGGAGTTTAAGAGCTTCTTAGGTAGCTTAGTCTTTTTGAGCATTTGAATCTATTTCTTCGAGAAAAGTTTTTTCTCTGATTACATTTTTGTGCTTTCTTATTACATTTGCATGTCTGGCCGGCAAACCCTAAATTTAAATTAAATAAGAATCTTAAGGTTTATAATAAAATTTGAATTCGAGACATACCTTCACTGTCTCAAGGTACTCTTTATGGGTGGCCTCGTGGATCCAAGGGTTGACAACTTTGATTTCCTTTGGTTAAATTGCTTATTGTTCATCGATTGACAAGAGAGAAGGCTGCTCTTCGCCGTGGTTGTAGTAGTTGTTTCCTCCGTTGGTGTTTCCATCTCCTCCATCACCACCAACCTTGGATACATCAGCAACTTCATCAGCCTCGACTGCTCCTCCGGTTCTGTATTTTCCTGTAAGAGTCGGCTTGTTAACCTTGTGTATCGAGAACTGCTTCATCTGCTTTCTACATTTAACGGTTATGGATGAAATGCGATACCTTGCTTTTGATGGTTTTTCTAAGATTTCGTTCTACATTTGTTCATAGTGATTACTTATCTATTGGAAATCAGGAACTGTGAGTTTCTGAATTGGTCCTACAAATAGAGAGTGAGTCGGTTGTTCGAATTCAAATAAGAAGACTGCTTACCAAAATTCTTATTCTATCCAATTGCTTTCTTCTTAGACTAATGCATACAATTAATTAAAATAAAATTATTAAATCAAAGGCTTTACTCTATAGGATTTTCAAATACTTTATATACTACCAATACTAATATTCCTATTAAACAATCACAGCTGATAAATTTATCTCTAAACTCCTAAGCTCTCTCTCACTCAATTCCACTCTACTCTCTCATGGGGTTTTGGGGTTTTGGGGTTTTGGGG